AAATTAGGAGGTTTACCCGAGAGCCGTTTAGCCGAACTATTGAGGAAAAATCCGCCAGGCCTTAGCAACTGCCCAGAGTGCTACAGGTTAACAATTAGAAACTCGTAACATTGTACTGTTTTCTTTTTTCTTGAAAAGAATATTCGTATCATTTGCAAAGAGAACTGTTCTTTTGTTTCGAATTGTCGAGGGCATATCGTACACGATAGTAGGAAGAGAATATGGCATAAAATCAATCTCCTCGGGACCCCATGTGCAATTGCTAATGAATCGGTATGGTGAGTATATAATGTTCCATCATTCAGTACGGTATTTCTACCGTACTACATATACTATCCGAGATCGTTGTTTTAAGTGCGAACATATACATAATTTTGTACAGATCGAAAACCTTCTACTCGGGAGACTAGCTGTGCGAATCTTCAAGCTATAGCCACGATACTTATGCATGTGCACGGAGCTTTTACTCAAAGAGGAATTCCGTGAGGCCGCGCCACGCTAAACCTACATGGGGAGAAGTCATGTAACTGCCTTCCTTTTGGCACATGTGCGCCAGTCACCAAACCACCTTCACTCCCTAAGGATGAAACTCGCTTTTGTAGAGTGAAACGGAGAGCCAATTGATCTTTTGTGTCAAATGACGTCACAATTCAAAGATAATATTCTAATTATAATAATATATAACGGTTGTTGATATTTCATATAAAATATCACCGGCTCGTCAGTAAGAGAATGCAAATTTTTATTTCCAATTCCTACAGGTAGGAAATCGGGGCCCCGACCCATGATTATATTTAGCAGCGCCTCCGAGAAGCGGCAGAGCCTTTCCCACACAGCCACCGTCGGCTGTCGCCTGTAGATTCATCCGTGGCCCCACACCATAGCTGCCGGCAGCGAGCTATATATTAAGAGTGAGTCAAATAACTTCAGAACCTACAGTAACTTTTGAACAGTTGAAGTTATTGCAATGCAATTTTCACGGGTGTGCTTGAGGAAATGGGGCTAATTAATAAATGTATTCATTAATATTTTATCACTTGTACTTTATGATTATAATATCACTTTGATTTATACTTTCCCGTATACGTACGTATATACGGAGTATGTTACGTA